GATGTCACCAGGTTAGCTGATTGCATCTAAAAGGTGTCCCAGTAAAGGCACTTTTCTGAAAGCGGAGAGACAGGTTCCTTTTGATGCGCTGTAATAAATGAACACAGTTGCAGCTCTCAGGAGATTAAAGGAAGCCTGAGAAGAGCTGAATAAACCATGTCACCGCAGGTAAGATCTAGATAATGGGAGCTGTGAAGTTTTCTAACTTTCCCAGGACCATACCAATTATTAAATTTGTCAGGAGGTGTAAAGAGGTTTGAATAAAATATTACTGTCCAATAGAAGAAAACATGGGATTCCTGTAATTACATATTTAGTAGAGAAATATTATCTGTCTTTTATCATGTAATAGCTGAGAACCTGAACACATTTTAGGGACATAGTTCGAACTTCACGACATCTCTAGGGTACAGCAGTGTATTTAGGATATAGCATCCCATCTTGACAAAAACACAGCCATAAAGAGGGCTCCATTTTTAAGGAACAACCTCTTGCTTAAGTTGCTGTTCCTCTGTGATTGCCTCCATCCTGCTAAAACCTCTGCTCATGGGGATATTTACTTTGCAGAAGGACCCACCCCTGGCTGGATCACTGGAGCACGAACGTATTCTTCCAGGGAGAGGTAAAACATTGTGCCAGGAGAGGTTCAGGTTGGATATTAGGAATAATTTCTTCTCCTAAAGAGTGGTGATGCAGTGACACAGCAGTCCAGGGAGGTGGGGGAGTCACTGTCTCTGGAGATGTTCAATCTGGAGAAGTGGCACTGAGGGATGTGGTCAGTGGGCATGGTGGGGGTGGGCTGGGGTTGGACTGGAAGATCTCAGAGGTCTTTTCCAACATGAATGACTCTATGATTGCATGATTCAAAACTACTCTTTTGCATATGGAATTACAGAAGTCAAGCACTCGATCTAGCTGTGAGGACACACCACATTCGGATGATCATTAACACATCATTATTATAGATAGCCACTAATAACATTTGATTGGATTGCATCAGTTGATTGGATTTTCTAACTGAAAGCTCTAAACCTAAGCCCCCAAATAAAACCAAAGTGTTGGAACCCGAAAGCTTCACCAAACAGGCAGTTCTTTGGATAACTGTGAGCTAGCCTTTTAATATATAACATTTGGCAACTTCTGTACCTTTCCTAGAGAAGCTAATATCACAAAGTGCCACTACAGGGAGACACCAGTTAAAACAGCACCGTGTTAATCCTCCCCCAGCATATCCATGAAGCATTCATTAAGTCTAACAGAAAGTACAGGCAGAAGGATTGACCCAGGTGCGTCCTCTTGTCAGGCTCACACATTAGCTATTAAGTTTACCAACTTTCAGTACTGCAGAGACCTTAGCATGGTGACAAAAGAAGCCAGAGTCTTCTTTGCCTCATGCATGAATAACAAAGCCACCTGCTATATTCCAACAGTGGATGCTTTATTGTTAGTGATGATGCATGAGGCAGAAATAATGCAGTTTGATTTTTAGAGACAATACCAAGTTGAGCTTGCAAGGCTGTCAGTTAGCCCACACTCATTTGAGTTGGGAACTGAGCAAACAACTTGGAAGTAATTGATGGAAACTAATGACACAATAAAATGTCATTTTTCTGACCTACTTTGCTTAAAGTAAATCCCTGTTAATTGTGATTATCTGGGCTGGTAGCAGAGTACTCCACATCCACCAGATACTCAGCTGGATCCCTCAGTTATTTAAATGAGATAGTTCCAGATTTACACAACTCTGATTCTGGCTTACATACCTCTCTATATATAGTGTTTGTTCCCCTGATCTGAATAAATGCCTGGAAGATGGAAGACCACACAACTCAATTAGTGTATTGATTGAGACAAAAAAAGCCTTTAACCAACCAGCAAGAGAAGGGCACCATTCCACGCCGTGCTTTGCTGGGTGCTGCCGGAGCACCAAGCGTGCCTCTTCTTTCTGGTGGCTCACTGCTGCTTCTGAAAAGCAGAATTCAACATGAAATGCAAGGATCAGACAGATCAGCTTTGACTGCTGCAAGAGAAAACTCCTTGCTAAACATGTTTTATAAATACTTGCAGATCTAAGGGCCATCCAGAGTTTACTCAGACCTCTGGCCACAAGCGCCTCCAGCGTGATGGAGGGTCACCGCTTAGTTGGTCCCTTCCAACTCAAATGATTCTGTGGTTCTTTGGCTCTCTGTAAGGGCCAGTGCTGTAATCACACAGGGCTGCAGCCTGATGGAAGGGGCAGAGCACCCTGTCCATAACCTCAGCTGAAGCTGTGATCCAGCAGCGGCTGCGAGGGGGGTGCTTGGGGTGCTCTGAGCACAGCCGTGCTTCTGCTGTGGGATAAGTGGGTGAGCTGGAGCTGGAGAACATCATGGGATGATCAGGAATTAAGATGTAAGCGGTGGAGATATCACTTCTGGCCACCCACAGAGTCATGTAGCCATGACTCATCGCCTGATGCAGGAAGGAGCGCAGCGTACCACGCATCAGAATGGACAAGATCTTTCCAAGGACAGATGATCCGGGCAGGAAAACCTTTCAAGGTCTCTCATCCCAACTGTTTATTTTCTCACACTGGTATGTCATTTCCTCTGTAAAATTGCAAAGCAATGTGTTAATGTCAACTACTTATTTTTTCTCTCTGACTGGAAGGATCTTATGCTTTCTAGACTAGATATACTCATGACCGGTTCCTACTCCTTTGCTCTTCTACTGCTGCCCCTCAGTGTCACACCCTTCCCATCTGCTTTCCAGGATGTACTTACATACAGAAAACACACTCCCCCTCCATTCTCACTTTTGCTGAAGCGAACAAGCCAAATTCTTTCAGCCTGCAGGAGAAAGAAAGTACAGATCTCTGATCAGCACCTGGCTCCTCCCTACCCGCATCCAGCCTGACTTCACCCTTCTTGGACACAGCTGGCCACAAAATGCACTGAGAAATGCAGAGGCAGTCTCAACAGAATATTATCTCATGTCACATATCACCCAAGCAATTGCTTTTCTCATTTAGCGTGCCAATGCTATAATCCCCAACTGCTGCCTTCTCCCACCCGTATGTCTCATCGCACAATTTTGGGCTGTTTCTGTATCAAAACAGATGAGTCTTCCGTCGCCTTATTGGTTCACAAAGTGCAACGTGCACCTACACTTCTACTTAAATAAGGCTAAATAGTTGAATTACTTTTGTGCTGTCTTTGTTTTGTTTTGAAATCGTATGTAGCAAATTTGCTAGATGGAAAAGTTCGCAGAGATGAGGAATGCTCCCATTTATATCTCACTGCACTGCAAACCAAAAGTTTAAGCAAAACACATGCATTCATCACTCAGGAACACAGGGCAGAGAGTCCTTATTTCTCAGTGCAGCGTCAAAGAGAAGAGTGATTTTAGGTAATATATACTTACCATCCCCTGGAAAATCACTTGGAAAGGCCAAATGCACCCTTTTCACACAGCTTATTTAGTACATGCAAACACTCTTCCCCCAATTATTACTTTTTTCATTGCTGGAAAAAGTATTTTTATTCACACTAGTGCAGCTTTCCACCTTCTCACTGTTTTATTTCGCCAGTTCTCAAGCCCTGAATCCAGCTGCCCTGATATTTTGCCACAATAATAAAAAAGAAATCAAACAAAGAGAGGGGGAAGCAAGAGCCCACAGGAGAGCAGCAGGGCTGGAGCAGGAGAATGCTTATTGAATGGGAAAAATAAAACAAAAGAGATGATAACCTACAGAGGACAGCACAAGACAGCAAAGAATGTGGATGAGATCAGTGAGCAAATGTAAATGGGTAGAAAGGAAACCATTGGAGGAAGGACAGGGAGTTGGCCTCCCCAACAGGTCCCTGTCCAAAGCTTGGGCCTGGGGAGCAGCTCAGGTCCAGACAAACACCAAATCCTTTGTGGGGCCACCAAGAAGATCTGGCCAGTCTACCTGGCCCTGTAAGAATGGGGTGGGCTAGCTAAGTGTCCCCAAAGAGGGAGCTAGCAAATGGGGGAAAAGAAGATGGAAGGGCCCATGTGTTTATGAGGAGAGTCAGGAGAATGATGCAGAGAAGGACTTGGGGGTCCTGGTGGACAAGAAATTGGACTGTAAGTGTGTGCTTGCAGCCCAGGCAGCCAACAGCATCTTAGGCAGCATCAGCAGAGGGGTGGCAGAGGGGCAGGGAAGGGATTGTCCCACTCTGCTCTGCCCTCATGAGCCCCATCTGCAGTACTGTGTCCAGGCCTGGGACTGCAGTCCAGGAAGGATGTGGGGCTGTTGGAGCAGGGCTGATGAAGGCCACAGGGATGCTCAGAGGATGAAGAAAGACTGAGGGAGCCGGGCTCCAGGGAGACCTGACTGCGGTTTCCAGTATTTGAACGGAGCTTATGAGCTGGAGGGGATTTTTGCACAGACCAGTTATAGGAGTAGGAAGAATGACTTTAAACTAGAAGAGCAGAGATCTGGGTTAGATGTTAGGATGAAAATCTGTACCCAGAGGGCAGTGAGGCCCAGAGCTGTGGGTGCCCCATCCCTGGAGGTGCCCAAGGTCATGGATGGGCATTGAGCAACCGGAGCCAGTGGAGGCACCCAGCCGACGGCAGGGGTTGGAGCTGGATGGACTTTAAGGTCCCTTCCAACCCAACCACTCCGCGATTCTGCGACTCTGTGACAATGCACCGGGAGCTCTGGGCGAACACCGGGGCCGGGCGAGGTCAGCCCGACGAAGGCACAGCCGAACCCGGCGCAGGGCCCGGCCGCAGGCCCCACAGCGTTCCCCCTCCACCCCCCGCCGTCCGACGGCCCGGCCCGGCGCTGCCCCGCTCGGTCGCTAGGCGGCCCGGCCCGCGCTGCGCGGCCTGGGAAGCGCCGCCCCCGGAAGCGGCGGGCGGGCGGCGGGCGGGCAGGCAGCAGGCGGGCGGGCGGCGGGTGGGGGGACGCCGGGAGCGGGGACGGGGGGGGCAGAGCGAGCGAGCGCGCCCGGCGAAGGGGCCGGAGACGCGGCGGCGGCGGCGGCAAGATGGCGGCCAAGTCGGATGGCGGCGGCGGCGGCGTGGGCTTCGCCCAGCTGCACAACCTGGACGAGGCGGCGGCGGCGGCGGCGGGCGTCTGCGGCGGCGTCGGGGCAGCGGCGGCGGAGGGCGCGGAGGAGCCGGGCGGCAGCAGCTCCTTGCACATCTGCCACTGCTGCAACACGTCGTCGTGCTACTGGGGCTGCCGGAGCGCCTGCCTGCGGAACCTCTTCGGGCGGGCGGCCGCCGCCGCCGCCGCCGAGCCGCTGGCCCCGCGCCCCGCCGACGAGGGAGAGCCGCGGGCGCCGGAGGTCGGAGGGGCGGGCGAGCGGCCGTGGCTGGACTGCCTGTGGATCGTGCTGGCGCTGCTGGTGCTGCTGGGGGACGTGGGCACGGACCTGTGGCTGGCGCTGCACCACTACGGGCGGCGGGACTACGTCTGGTGCGGCCTGACGCTGGCCTTCGTGCTGCTGCCCTCGGTGCTGGTGCAGATCCTCAGCTTCCGCTGGTTCGTGCAGGACTACACGGGCGGAGGGCTGGGCGCCGTGCAGGGCCTCAGCAGCCGCGGGCCGCCCATGATGGGGGCCGCCGGGCGCCGGGGGGGACCCGGCGGGGTAGGAGGAGCCGCCGGCACCGCCACCCCCGGGGCGCAGCGCCTCTGCAGGATCTCCGTCTGGGTCTGGCAGTCCGTCATCCACCTGCTGCAGATGGGACAGGTGTGGAGGTAAGGGCGGGGGTCCGGGCTGCGGTGGGAACGGGGGGATCGCTGTCACCTCGTGGCCCGGCTTGGATGTGGAGGAACGGGGCTCGGCGTTCAGCGAGGACGTGAGCTGATGGCTTGGCTGTCAGCTCGTGGGCCGGAGCGGACGCGGGTCGGTGTGTCTTTGCTGGGAGTCGCTGCCGCCTCGCGGTGCGGTGGGGACGTGGGGCAGTGGCTGGTGACGGAGCTGGGGTCGCCACAGCCTCGTGGTCCGAGGTGTGGGGTTCGGCATCGCCTTACGTCCATTGGGAATGTGGGGTAGTGAGTTGACTGCCTCCTCGTGGTCCCGCATGGACGTGGGGGAATGAGGTTTGGTGTCACCTCGTGTCCGGAGGAGTAATGAGTTTACTCCAGCATGAACGTTGGTCACTGTCACTTTGCCGAGGTGAAAGAATGAGGATCGCTGTCACCTCGTGGTCCAGCTTGGAAGTGGGTTGCTGTCCCTCGGCTGGAATGAGGGTCGCTGCCCACACATTGCCCATGATGGGTCCTCTCAGCATGGGGACACCCAATGTCCATTGGCTGTAATAGGGTACATGAGGGTTGCTGTCACCTCGTGGTTTGAGGTGGGTCAAGGTCCTCTGGTTGAGGTCGGGCTGAAGGGGTCTCCTGATGGTCCAAGGTTGACGTGGGTCACTGTCACCTCATGGTCTGAGGTGGAAGTGGTCAGTGGCACCCCACGTGGAAAAAGAGAGGAAATTTGGCGTTCGTTCCCCTTAGCTTGAAGAGAGCCTCAAAGGGAGGAGAGATGCCCCTAGAGTGGTCTGTGAGGCTGAGGTGAGGGAAATGGGGCTCACTGCCACTTTTTGGCCCGTGGGCACACAAGTTGGTGGATGTGAGTCATTGCTCCCCAAACTGGAGATGTGGGGACTCTCCTCGTGCTGCCCAAAGGGAGAGAAATTCCCACAAAATATGCCCATGGGGCTGAGGTGGGGGACTGAAGTTTGTTGTCCATTCATCGTCTGAGTCATTGCCCCCCACGTATAGAAGCAGGAGAGATTTGGGGTCATCCCTGCTAGGCTGAGAAGGGGTTCCCCCAGGTAAGTGTGTGGGACTGAGGAGGCTATGGGGGTCATTGTCACCTCTTGGTCCTCACTGGGCAGGGCCAGCACTCTCCCCATGTAAAAGCAGGAGGAGATGAGTAGCCCACAGTACCGAGGGGAGAGAAATTTCCCCAAAAGTCAGTGTGTGGGGAGCTATGGGGAGGGAGGATGTGGAGGGGCTGCTGCCTGGGGGAACGTGACTTTGTGCCCCCCACAAGCATAGGGGGTTGAAGGGGTGCCTTAAGAATGGGCTCTTCCTGCCCCACAGGGTTGGGGCAGGACCAGGGTGTGGGTTTGGGGCTGCTCATCCCTGCAGGTGCTCTGAGAGGTGATGCTAACCACCTCCCAGAGGTGACAGTGTGGATGTAGGCCCAGGGCTGGGGGTGACCCCCGTGCCGGCATCACTACAGAGTGAGGCCCTGCAGCCATGGGGAAGGCTGGCCCCAAGAGATGGGGGGCAGCAAGGAAGCAGCCCCATGGAAAGAGGGAGCTGTTCCAGAGAGGCAGGGGAGAGATGGGGGGCAGGCCTCCAGCTGTGGGGTCTGCTGTTTCCAAAGGGATTGGCGTCAACCTGCTGTAGATGAGGGAGGGAGGGTTGCATCTGTCCCCTGTGGTGGTGGGGAAGGAAGCAGTGGGGAAACAGGGATGTATTTCGGGTTGTTAGTGTGAGACTGAAGGTCAGAGTCGGGAACCGATGCCGTGGAGCAGCTCTTGAGGACAGGCCCTGGAGCAATCAGGGGATGGGGAATGTCCCTGGATTCAATGGGAATAAAAGAGTGAGCAAGGAGCTGTCATCCCCCAGATGAGATGGAAGAGGGAGGCAGGGAGGGATTCTCTAGGATGAAAGCCTGTAAGATACAAACGCTTCCAGAGAGACAGCATTTTTACGGAAAGAGGTGTTGTAAGGACAACTGTAAAGACCCGGCGTGGCCCTGCGTCCTCTAAGATCGCTCTGGAGGGGGTATGGGTTAATAAGATGGAAGGAGAAGGAGGTGTGGGTGATGGAGGCTGGAGTGAAGGCTCCGAGTAGTGGCATTGGGTCCTGCATGCACGCCCCCCCCTCCATACATATGGGAAGAGGGTCTCAATGGGGCTGGTTGGGCTTGAGAGCTCTTAAAATTATCGGTAGGCAGAAGGTGCTGGATTTTTGAGGGAGGGGAAAACAGCACCAAATGGTGAAGCCTGGGAGGGTGCACATCCCTGCATCGGCATTTCCGATGTGAATCCATGGGGCCAAAATAACCTGATGGATGGATGGTAGGTTTTTTTTTCCACTGGGATACGGATGAGAAGGAAAGGAAGAAGGTGATGATTGATGAGGAAGCAAGTCTTTATTTATTTATTTTAATTGGTGTTTTTTTTTTTTTTTTTTTTTTTGGCCATCTGGATAGCAGAAGGGGTTAACCCTGCCGCCTAATGAAATCGGTGGAGAAGTGGCTGGAGTTAAGATGGAGACAGCGTACGGGAGCCTGGGGGAGGGCTGTGTGGGTGGAGGCAGGGGAGGGCCTTGACACCTCTTCTGAGGACACCGCTCTGGAGATAAAAATGAATATACACATCAAAGATTTTGTATTATTTCTTTCCGGGGGGGGGGGAGGGGGGGTGGAGGGGCAGGGAACTGCGTGGGAAGGTTGCTTGAAATGTATGCCTGGGAAAGGAGCCCGTGGCACCGCGCAGCGCAACAGCACGTACATATATTTCCTCTGCACCTTCAATGTCATTTGTGTAATGTTCTGAGCGCGCTGGTACTCAGCTCCTGTTGGGGGTGGATTTTGTTTCCTTGTGGCCGACATGTGGACCTGGGGATGCTGAAGGGGTGGGTGAGCTGTGATGCCTATGAGGGAAATAAATCGGGATGCGACCCTTTCTCTGCTTTTCCTGATGCTGATCCCATCAGCAAAAGCATTTCTTGATGCAGATGCTTCTTTTGCAAGTTGGGTTTCTCCTCTCTCAAAGCCAGGGGAAATAAATGGCTGTTAGCGTGGTGCAAGCCTGCATGGGCACAGACAGCCCCGGCATGCTCCAGTGAGCGGTGGGGAGGGGGATGCTGGAGCCTTGTGGAGGTGATGCCTGTGGAGGGTGATGCGTATGGAGGGGTGATTTATTTTGTCACGTGAAGAACTGAGGCTCAAGTAACTCAGAATTTCCTCTGCTTTGTTACTGCAGAGAAAAAAATCTCGGCTTGTGAGACAGTGCAGTGCTGGGGCTGCTGAGAGGGACTGGGAAGGAGCTCTGCAGCCCAAATGGCACAATGAGGGAGCGTGCTCTCCTGTTGATCACCCATCTCTCCAGCACGCGACTCCTGCTTTGTAGGGCACACCGGTGGCGTAAAGCTGCCTCCCAGTATCTGACCAGAGCAAGAATAACTTCATGCTGTCTGTAGGCTAGCCTCCACCAAGGCATCTTTTTCCATTCCCACTGTAGCGATTGCAAACGCCGTTAAAATTAATCTTGAATGTGGTGATGGGACTAATAGTGGAAGGCGCTGTTTTAGCAGTGTTTGCCTGCAGCTAAATCGCTCCGTGCTGGTAAGAAGTTGATACGTGGGGACGGAGGAGGAAGACCTAGAACAATGTAAGTTCAGTGCATAATGCATCCAGCCTGGTTTCCTGCATGATAATGGATATGCGCTGCGACTGCATGGAGCGTAATCAGGGCTGTGCGTTATGGAGAGGCTGTCGTGGCTGTTGCTCAGCAGCTGGAAGCGAAATCGCAGAGAACAGAGGGGGCAGGTTGGAGTTGTACAGCAGTCCTGTTCCTGAATTGCCGAGGGCTTGCTTCTTGGTAGACATGAGGTAATCTGGGTTTTACTTGCGGGGATAACACAGTTCCTGCAGGGACTTCTCCTGGATGTTGGAAATGCTCACCAGTGAGATGGATAAAGCACATTCTTATGGCAGGGACTCAAACGTACGTCAGGCTCTTTTTTTTTAGCAAGGTTGTTTGTCAGTCTTTCGTGGTGGTGGATGTAATGTAGTTAATTGCGTCTGTGTAATAAGGGAGGGTGGGGGCTTTGGCTTCTACTTGTGTCCTGGTTCCCCTATTACAAGTGTGAGAGGTAACCAGGGGGTTACTGAGGGGGATTGAGTGATGTTTGGAGTTTGTTGCATTTGTCTTTTGCTCAGCTGAGAATTGGGGCTGTATTCATACCGCCTTCCTACGCTGACTGCTGGAAAGAAAGTGCATAGTGAAAGTATACATACAAACATCTTTATATGGAGATTTTGAATGGATGCTTGAAGCGCTGTGATCTTAAATTGCATTCCCACCGATAAAGCTTGGGTACTGGAGGGTTTTACCTTCATACATCTGCAGTTTTCACCTTTCATCTCAATCCCTTAGACTATCTCATAGACTAGAACAGTTCAGCAGACTGCTACAGAAGTGAAGGATGCCAGCCGGGCACACAACACTGGCTGTTGCACTCCAGCCCTGTGAGCTGCAGAAGGGAGGCTTCTTGAGGAGCAGCAGTGCAGTGCTGTGGTTTTTTGAAGGTTGGTGGGTCCTTTCAGCTTGCCAGGGCTCTTGCTTTCACTGAAACCATTCATCTCTGTAAATTCAGGAAAAATAATTTTGACTTGGAGTTTTCATGTCTTGAGTAGTTGTAGAAGGTGTATTTGTGACGACTGGGAGTGTAAGCTGCATCTTGTATGCATGTTGTACTTTTCTGTACCCCTGTAGTAAATGGGTCAGTGGGTCATGGTTGCTGTCCTGGAGTACAAGGCTTAAAGTCTGACCTTTTGCAGTGCAAGGTGCTATTAAAGAAAACAGTATTGAATTCCATTGGATTGTCAGAACGTGGAGTTGGTGCTAAAATGAACACTGATCAGCTGAAGATCTCACTGTCTGGTGACTGTCAGTAATGGTAAGATGCGTGACTGCGGTGCAGTATATTTGGGTTTTGTTTTTAAAAATTGATTG